AAATGGGGATGGGAAACGGGTGTCAGGGCTTTGAAATTGTGTGCAGTCAAAGGGGACTTTTTCAAACCCTTTAGTTGGGGGTAAAATTTTTACCCTTTGGTTGCAAGTGTATTCTGCGTGAGGCCCATCTGGTAGGAAATTTTAACTTCTGTCTCTGTAAAGCAAAGATTTTCTAAAGCATGATGAGCTTTTACTTGAAAGTAAAGAAAATTCTCAATTTGGACTTGTCAGAACAGTTTGACAGCCCAGCTAAGAGGTACAAAATGGCTTAGGCTTTGAAGATGCAATTTAAAATATTTATTACCGTGATTTAAACGTGGAAGTAGGAAAGGGAGTAACTAACGATAGTGGGAAATCTGTGGTTGGGTTTGGTTTTGGTTTTTTGGTTTTTTTAACCTGAAGTTACTAGCTGTCCTTGTTTGTCAACTGATAAGACACTTCGGTCTACCAGTTGTGGTCTTTCCCAAGACTGCTGCATGGTTTCTGACTAGATACAAATTACAGTTGCCTAAGGTAAGATAATGCCAACAGGATTCTGTCATGCAGTCTTAAGGAGAGTTGTTTTATGTTAACTTTCAGATCAGTTGAAAAGAATTTCATTATGAATGACACAGTGGTCAGAGCAGAAATACTCACTGTACTTGAAGACAGTCTGCCATTAAAGCCAACCTGGAGTCTGAATGCAGTATGTATTCCGGTTTGATTTGTGAAGTGCTGCTGTTTATATTGTAACTGCACTCAGAACTTTTACAAAGTATGAGAGCTGGATGGTTTTTTATGGTACTTGGAAGTAATGTGGCTCTGTTGTGCACGATAGACAGCTGCAGCCCCTCTGTTTGCTGAGGCTGCTGCTCCTGATACTGGTAACAATGGTGCTCAGGGTGCGTTGTGGTGCTGGTCATGCATGGCAAACAGCCTCTACCTGCTTTGGCCCAAATGCATCCCTGGTACAGCCCTTCAGCCTGCCTTTCATTTCCCAAGGGAGATCCAGGGCTGCAGCCCCAGATGAGGCTGTGGTGCTGGTGCTGCCAGTTATTCCTCAGGAACAGGAGAAAATGGTTCCACCTTTCCATTGTGTGCCTGAGCAGCTGCACAACTGGTTTACTTTGGATCAGAATAAAAGTGGGTGCCCTGGATCCACTGTTGGATGTGTTGTGTCTTCCTATTCAGGGATAGCAAAGTGCTTTAATAATTTGCCTTTTCTTTTTTTTTTTTTTTTTTTTTTTTTGGGTCAGGGTGTGGAGTAGTCAATAAGTTTCATAGTAAGCTTAGACAGGTTTGAACCATGCTTTTAAAAAAAAAAATAAAAATCCAAAACTTAACAGACCGGATAGTTAAGAGTGTGCAGTGAAAAATGAGGTTTGTAGCTTTACTTACCTCG